TTGGCAAGCTGTGGTAAATTTTGGTCTGAATGAGGAAGTTGAAAATAAGTTTAGGGCATGGTCAATTACACATCATCTATGTTCCAAGTCTGTGAAACCAGTATACCTCAACTGGGTGACTCAAAGCCTGTCTAAATGAACAGTTATCTTTTTTGCTCTGAGCTTTCCTTCCTGTTTATCGGATGAGTTGTTGTTGTTTTCCTGTAGAAATTTAACAAAATATGATAACTAGGAAGCAGAACAATTGCAGATGAGACACTGTATTTGCTTTGCTTTGCTGACCTAATTTTCTGATTAATTCTGTTCTCTAAAGATAAAATATAAGTTGGATTTCTGTGAGGAAAAAGATAACGTTAATCTGAAAAGGGCCTTCTTTTTTTCTTGTCTCTTTAGTCTCTTTATACTAGATGAGAAAGAACTAGGAAATGTCACCTAGTTTAGTACAGAACTACAAAATTATAAGTTTCTCATAAAATTTCTGTTTGTCATAGTTGAAAGACAATTTTTCTTGTTTAAAGTCTGAACTCTAAAATATTGGCTTCATAATTCCCTTTACTATGAAACAGATCAAAGTGATTGTGGTTTCTGTTGTTGTTGAAATATAAGTGCTTCATATATCCAAATGAGTGCCTGTTACAACATTCATCTTGAGAGAATAGATTGATTTATTCTCTAATAGATATACACGCACACCCTAGTTTTGCATTTAATGTGTGCTAATAAATAACATGCCAGTGCATATAATGTGCATCATGCACATAGAAAACTAAGCAGTGGAGGGCTGCATGGTTTGCAAAATCCGTATAGCCAGGTGCATTATTTGTGTTAAAATACTGTATTCCAAATACAATGTCACTGATAAATGAATTCCAAAAATACTATCATTGATTAGAGCTTTTTTGGCCTCCCTTCATTTGATATTACCTTCTTACTCTGTGTCAAATTCTTTAGAATATCCTCAGAAGCCAGCCATTTTTGCTCTTTGTATATTATAAATGAAATCAGCATTTGTTGTGAAAACTTCAGGATATATGATAATACTAAAGAATCACCCTTAATCCCACCACCAGTACACAACCTATGGGGTTGCTGTAAGTCAAACTCAACTCGATGGCAGTGGGTTTGGATTTATTTTTTAATAGACAACCACTGTTTATATCCTCCAAGACTTGTTTCTAGGCATACTAATATACACCTTGGATATGACATTTAAAAAAAGAAAAACTTCATGGAATCATACCATACCAAAAATCATCCTTCCCTTTTGAAACAAATACAGTTTTTCTAGTCTTCTTTTTCCACTTTTATTTCAAATATGTTGAGACTGGTTTTCTTATAATAGGCTTAAAATTTTATATGAATGCATTTAGACAAGGAAACCAGATGGTCATACATATTAAAGTAAATTTCACTTATCAATTTTTATGTAAATGGTTGCAGTAAATTCTGATTGAGTATATGATTTCTCAAGGTTACTACATTGAAGAGAAAAT